CTTAATGACATCACACACTGGGAGCCAATTATTTGGAGCTAGGTCTACTTCTAATTTTTCTATTATATAAGCCAACATATTCTTTTTTTTAAAGGGAGAGAGAGATCATTTTTTTAATATTTATTTTTTAGTTTTCGGTGGAAACAACATTTTTATTTTATTTTTATGTGGTGCTGAGGATCGAACCCAGCGCCCCGCGCATGCCAGGTGAGCTCAGTACTGCTTGAGCCACATCCCCAGCCCCTGTTATATTCTTTCTCTGTTTAAAATTATTAAAAATTGCTTTTAAGTTTACATATAGCAAAAATCACATGTTAAATGTATATTTTGATGAGTTTGAATAAAGAAAACCTATTTTAACCACTATCTTAATCAAGATATAGTAGGTTTATATTATTTAAAAAAATCCCTTTTACTCTTTTCCAGTCAGTCACTGGCAGTTCTGATTTTTACCAGCATAAATGAATTTTGCCATTTTTAACTACTTATTAATGGAACTAGATGGATTCTTTTAAAAATTGAAATGTAATAATTGTACATATACATGGGCCATAATGTGACATTTTATATAGAATACATTCTTTTGTATCTGACATCATGTCCTTGAAATTCATCCATGTTGATCAGTAGTTCATTCTGTTGATGACTAGCATTATGTTGAAAGGAGATATTGTACTTTTAAGTGTATTTTCATTTTGATAGATAATTAGGTTTTTTTCTGTTTTGTTTACTATGAATAAAACTGCTACAAACACTGTTGAACAAGTTTTTTTTTTTGATGTTTTTATTCTCTATAAATATTTGGAGTAAAATCACTGTCATGTTAGAGTTGTATGTTTAATTTCATAAGAAAATGCCATTTGCATTTTTCACCTGCATGCCCTATAGATATCTCAAATATTGTCCCCTAATTGCTTATTACTACCATCCTTTACCTCTCACACTTCTGTTTGCAATATCTTGGTGAAGGATGCCAGGTTTCTTAGAAATTTAGTGTCAACCTAGGCTTCTTTTTCACTCTCTCCCATATAAAACAGTTACCCAGTCTCGTAACACAGGTGCAACACATCCTTTTTTTTTTTTTTCGTTTTTCTCATACTATGACTGCAGCATGACACAGTGAAGTTATTTCAAATGTTTTTTACTTTGATCCATAATGTTAAAAAAATACATATCAGATGTATTTATGAAGAAAAAGTTTCACAAAATGATATTTATCTCTACTGTATACAGTATAATCTGTTATATTCTACATCCATTTAAAAATTGTGTTTATAAACTATTAACTGATTTGATGATTCATTAATGATTTACAACTTCAATTTGAAAAGTAGTTGGTTGAAAGTCACGTCTTATAATCAGGCAAGAATTTAAAGAATTTAAAAACTTACTCCTCGATTTTGTAACCTCACGTTAAATAAAGTACTTGCCCTCTTTTGGTCCCAAGTTCCACTTGTAACAAAGAAATAATAACAATAATAATAATAATAATAACAACAACAACAACAACAACAACCACCACCACAACAATAATAATAATAAATCATGGAGTTGTAGTAAGGATTAAAATGAGTATGTAGAACTATAAGCTCTGGGCCAGGAACAGATCCTGCTCAATATTATTTAATCCAGACCTTCCTCATTTCTTGCCTGTTACTTGTCCTTTTGTGAAGTTTTTTAAGGTTTGAGGTAATATTTCCGCTGTTTCACTCTGCATGATGCTACTGAGATAATCTGTCTAAAATGCAGACCCAATCATATGAGTCATCTGTTCAAAAATTCATTTGTTACTTCCTATGACTTTGGGGACTAAATATAAACTTCATAAAAAAGGCATTTAAATATTTACCCTTTGGATCCCCCCAGTGATGACCACTTTCTCTTCCAAGGTACCCCCTTCTCCCATCTTGCCTCACTATTTCTTCCCCTATCACATCTTACTAAATGACTCTGTAGTGTCTGGGAATATACTAATCAGTTTCTACCTTATGTATCTTCCAGCTTCACTTATGATGTGCTTTTATGTGACATAAACTCCATTTCAAGAGTTATTTCTGGGAAGCTTACCTGGCTATCAGGCTGAGTTGAATAACTCTTCTAAGTCCCTTATGTATACCTTTTATAATCACCCTTACTACACAGTACTTGCAATCAGAGTTTGACTTTTCCTCTTTGTTCATTAGACATTGAACAGCTTGAAGATATGTCTCTATTCTTTATCTCTGTATTCCCCAAGGTGACTGATAAGTGCTTCAGTATGTATTTAATGAATGAGCCAAAGTTTCCTTCTAACAGAAATTTTCCATTGCAAATATGGTATGCCATTTTCCTGTTTACACCAGAGAAACATCTGGCTATTTTATTATGCCATAATACCAAATAACAGAAATGCTTTTTAAAAATCTAGCATATTTATTGTCAATTAAAAATATAGTGATTGCTTTTAACAATTTCCTGTGCAATATTTTCAGGTGAAAATAGGCAATTGCTTACTAAGGAAATAATATTGATATTCTTCCTTTCAAATCTAAAAATGTGAATACAAATAGAACTGCCGGAGGGAGCACAGGAAGGATGGATGATGGGCACCAAAACACAGCTCCATAGATGGAATGAATCCCAGCTCCACAGCACAGAGGGATGGCTGGCCCATCACATACTTCAGAAAGATCTAGAAGAAAGCCGTTCAATGCCTCAAAATATGAAGAAACAATCAGGAGGCTAATTACTCTAATTTGATCACTGCATCCTGTATGCATGGGTAAACATATCATATTGTACCCCATTAATATAAAAAAGACATGTTAATCAAAAATGCCTTTAAAAAATAAATAAAAGTTGTTATTTTCTTCAAAAACAAACAAACAAAAAACAAATGGAACTGCCATAGTTTCCCTTACTGTTATTCCTACTGCTTTGGAGGTAGGATTTGATCTATAGGCAATCTACTTAAAGATGTAATTGTGGAGAAACAGATTCTGAAAACAAGTTTTTTTTTTTATGTAAGACAAAAGCAGAAGTACCCCAAATTAAAAAAATCATGATATTCATATATTATTGATTTATCATCCAGTTATATAAAAACTACTAGTAAACAATCTCAATGGTTTAACTCCTTTACCAACAAAATAACTCCAAAATTTCATCAAGCATTTTAAAAATTTATCTTTTAAACAACAATAATCAAATAGCATTATCGTTTTATACTGCAAAGACAAATAATAACAGTCAAATTAGACTAAGTTTGCTTTTGTAAAAACAGTTCAATTTCTAGGTCTCCAGTTACACTGCAGTGTATACACAACTCAATTTTTCCTAATCCATTCAATTTCTTTTATATACCTGGAATGTTAGTACTGTTTAAAAGTTAATATTATATGCTAACAACCTATTATTTACCTATAATCTATTAATAAATAATCTCACACCAGGAGTGAAAGTGAGATTTAAATTGTTTAATTTTATTATTCATCACATTTATGTGATAGAAAATTGACAGATTTTTTTTTTTAAAAAAAGAATGGTATTAAATGGACAACTGAACTTAATTAGATTTGTGTGCTTTTCAACATATTATATATAGTATGTCTTGCCTTTAAAAATTATGGTCCTTGTAATTCTGGATGGTCTATAGGTAGAAAAACTACTTATTATTCTGCCTATTAACAATAAGAAGACATTCCTGTTAAAGATAATTTCAAGTGATAGAAATGTAAAAATGTGGTTTTGTTAGCTTTCTTTTTTTCTTTTATGAAAATAAGAATCGTATGTAGAATGTAGTGAAATGAAATGGCAAATCATATAATCTGAGAAAATTCTAGTCCCATAAAAAAATGATTTACATGAAAACTATATAACATCATGTAAAAACTTTTTTTTTAGGGGGGAGGAGTACCAGGGATTGAACTCAGGGGTACTGGGCCACTGAGCCACATCCCCAGCCCTATTTTGTATTTTATTTAGAGATGCCTTGCTATTGCTGAGGCTGACTCCCAGACTCCTGCTGGAGATTATAGGTGTGTGCCAGTGCACCTGGCATGTAAAAACTTTTTAAGTTGGTATCACATACTTAGGGATAATTTAAAAGTTAATTCAATAAACTGTTATTTTTATTTTTGGAAGTTTATAATTTTTTTCAAGATCAGATAAAGTCACTGTTATTTTTAATATGATAGGATGAATAAAATTGCATGTTGAAAGGATGTCTAAAATATGTTACAATTAGATGATTTTGTGGAGATGGGTTGGCCTTTTAGATATTTTCTTGCTTACCAGTAATTCCTTTAACCTGTAGGTAAAAGATACTTCAGGTGCTAAAATTTGAAACTGATGGATTTTGAATTTGACTGGGTTTGTATCCTACTGTTACCACTTATCTGCTGCTTCACCTTCTAAATTTCTGTCTGTTTTCTCAAGTATAAACAAAGACTAACAATACCTGTCTAGAACCACGGATGAAGATGGAATGAGATTGCACAGCCTGTAATATTCTAAGCGCTGAATAGATGGTTAGTTTCAGTCTTAGTTGTCCTTGAGTGCCTGCAATCCCTATTTGATTCTGTGATAGTCATTCATTTGTCCACATAAATATAGTATGTTTCTCGATTTCACCCAACTTCAGCAACTTCCTTTAAAAGCAATACACTAAGACATTTAATCAACTATCCAGTACTACTAGAGTCAATAATAACCAGCAAGCTATTTTAACAAAGAGTATTAGGAGATAGATTAACTGATGAAAAATGTTTCAGCGCAATTTTAGAGATTGCTCATTTTATTTTCATTAACAGTCGATTGTCATCTTATACAGATACGTTGTGTATAACGAAAATTAGATTTAATTACAGTGTTGTTTAGGTGGGTTAGTCTGTAACTTGAAGCAAAATATATTGACAGGATAAAATGAAATCTCTGAAATAGTGCACAGGTGGAAAAAACGGAGACGCAAGAAATTACCATATTTAATTACTACATTTAACAGAAGATTGATTAGAACTCACTTGCACTCCAGAATTGGATTTTCTGCAGGTAAAAATCCAGTGAGAAATGAACTGCAAAAGCAGCAGAGTATGGGGTTAAATCATCTTGATGAGAAGGCTTAGAGAGATTTAAAATCCTTAAGAGGATTTTCTTTTTATTGTTTCCTACCTTCTGTACTTAATGCTTTTTAAAGCACCGCTGACGTTTAAAGGGGGAAAATACAGCATAGAACAAGTCTTAGGCTACTAACATGCACTTTAGTACACTTCCTTTAAAAAGCAGAGTGTGCAAGTGTATTTCAAAAACCGTTCCACTGCAAACCTGTTTCACAACCTAAAAAGCCAAATTTAAGGCATGTTCGTCATTGACGAAGGCCCAAACCTTACCACAGGCGCATTAATACACCAACCTCAAATGCTTCTGAAAATCAGGAAAGAGAAAATCTGCAGAGACCGAGAAGTACGAGCCACTTATAATTTTTTTTCTGACTCATTTAAAACCATGTTATTTCCAATGCTTTTTAATTACGCAGTCGCCAATTTTACATTTCATTTCACGAATGCTACTCCCCTCCGCCCGCGTTCTTCCCCCATCACAAAGGGCCGGAAAAGCTTCCCAGTAGCGCTTTCCGGAGCACAGACCCCTACGCTCCTCAAGCGCGAGGAGCTTCGCGGCGAACACCCTCCTTCGCGAGCGCTGTTACAGCTAGAGCGATCGACCAATAGCCGTCTTCTGTCGCATTCGTCGTCCCGCCTTCCAATTTCACTGAAACCAATAGAAAAGGCCATCTGGAAAGAGAGGCCAATGGGAACCCGGCGAGAAGCATCATTGGCTGAGGGAATCCCGCGGTGCAGTCTGGGCCTCCGCCTCCGTTACCCTGGAGCCGAAGTCGCCTTACCGCTGCCACCCTGGAGCCGCCGTCCCCGCCCCTACCCCTTCCCAGTGTTCAAACTTCCCGCACCCCGGCAACCGCGGCATCCACCCGCAGCTTCCGCAGGAGCCTGGCACCCGCACTTTGGCGGCTAGACGCCGGGGTCCCGGCTAGGAATTCGGTCCAGTGAAGGCAGGCAAGGAGGCGGGACGCCGCGTTGGTCTCCTGAGGAGCCCAGGAGGGTTGGGTTTGGGGAGGGCGTGGAGACCAGGGTAGGCCCGGGTGCGAGGAGAGACGGGTTGGGCGGAGGGGAAGCTGACCACCGGACGCTTGAGGATGGGATTGCAAGCGGAATTATTAAAGCAGGGAGTTTGAAAGGATTAGGGATGAGGGAGGATTTGGGGACCTGGGAGAGAAGAAAGTCGTAAGAGAATAATCTCGGCAGCTGGGAGAGTTGGGAGGAGAGGAGGCTGACAGGCAGATGGGGAACTGGCAAATTAGGAGAAAGAATTGGAAAAGGCAGGTTTATTTGTTGGGAGGAGAAGGAAGCAAGCAGATCTAACGAAGCGATTAAAGTTATTAACAATAAACAAAACCCAGGAGGCCTGTAGAGACTCAAGATGGTTCAGAAGGGACGGTACCAAGAAGGGGGAGACTTTTGGTACCTCGGGGATAACAGGTTTATTGTTACTAGACCATGATTGGAGTGGAAAGGCACTGTTGTCTAGGTTGTGAATTTTTAAAACATCATTCAGGCATGGGATAAAAGGAAGATAGCAAAAACTATGCCTTTTGGCGTAAGTTAATTGAAGTGGACACTCAGCCTTGTGTTATGTATGTTGAATGAACCTGGGTACATTGTTTTAACTGGTTCTGTTCACCTGAATTTAAATCTCTCTTTTATTTACTCTGTGGCCTGGGACAGAATACCGACATTGATTAGTAATAAGTTACTAACTTTTACAGCATATCTCAATTCTGATGAGCTACATTTCAAGTGCTTAGTAGTCACAGTATTAGACAACAGAATTGTAAACTATTTGCAGCTTGATAATATACTGTGGTCTCCTTATGCCTTTAACTTTTGCATATGCTGCTTCCTCTTGTAGAAACAAGGTCTTCCCTTACCTACTACTTTCTTTTACTAACCTCATTAAACACCCATTCCCCTAAAATTACAGCCTGTCCCCTAAAGTTACATTTATGCATAACTTCTACTAATACCCTGAGACTCAATTTAGGTATTATTTCCTGTGGAAAGCTTCCCAAAGTTTTCTTTTATCTTGGTTCTGTGTTTACTTAGCCGCTTATACTTCCTTTTACATCATAAGTTCTTATACTCTGTTACATTATCTTTCTCTTCTTGGCAAGAGTTTCTGAATGGGAGGACAGCAGAAGTATAGGGCTGGGGTTGTGGCTCAGTGACAGAGTGCTTGCCTCACATATATGAGGCACTAGGTTCCACCCTCAGCACCACATAAAAATAACTAAACAAAGATATTGTGCCCATGTATAACTAAAAAAAGAAAGAAAGAAAGAAAGAAAGAAGAAGAAGAAGAATCATCTTACTCATTTGGTATTTCCACTTCATGTGTAGTTTAGGTTGTAAGCAAATGTTTTATGTTTGAATGAAGGGAGGTTTTGTGATGACTTCATTTGACTGACTAAACTCTAAGAATATATACTGCAGCAAAGATGCTTTCATTTGACCCGTTATTTCAAAATGCTGTTTAAAAGGAACTGATAATACCTTGAATTTTAAATCTAGCATTTACCATGATCTGAGTGACACTATTTAAAGTCATACTTAAAATCTACACACAGTTTTAATTTTTTAGATGTTTTACAAAGTTTTATTTTAACATAGTTTGATTTTTAAGGAAGAGTAGTTATTGTGAAAATAAATGTAGTAGGACAAGAAGATTGTTTATAAATATGAAGGAACATGTAAATAAAGAAATGAGAAAACTTTACTTGGTTTATTTGTTTCTTAATCTTTTCTGTTTTGTAGAATAAGCAGTTGTAGTTTTAATGTAGCAATATAGCTTTTACCTTTATCTCATCTGTAGAAACTTCCTTTTGTTTTGGGGGAAAGAGAACTCCTTGTTTGTATCTTTTTTTTAGTTTATTTTCATTTTACTCACCAGCTGCCTTTTGGGTGAGCTCTTTTACCAAAAGCAAAGGTAGCAAGGCAACAGTGTTTCATATAAAGAAACTTAGCATAGGAATATGTCAAGGCATTAAGAATTCTTTGTTGTATGCAGTTTCCCCTCTTAAAATGAAAAAAAAACTTAAAAAAATCAAAAGCCTTTCTTTGAATCATGTAAATAAGATATGATTATGATATTATATACTGTAGATTTACTTTGTTTCATTTGAGACTGAATATAAAGGAAATATTCTAGCACTGAAAGAATTTTTGTTAATCTTTATTTTCCTGACCTGCTAGGTGTAATAATTGCTTGAAATTTTTTTAAAAAGGAGTTTATTTTGGGATAAAAAATGACAAGTATTAGATTTGACAGTTTTCTATCACTGCTGTAGTAACACTCTAGGCCAGTTTTAGAAAAGAAGCTACATTACCCAACCCCCACTCAGCCACACATCAATAGGAAAAACAGATAAATAACTAGTTACTGATTCAATCCTGGTCACAGTGAATTAGGTTTAATTAGTTGGAGAACTACACAGTGTATAAATCTTCAGTGTGCTACCTGTTAACCTAGATAATTTTTTTTCTTTTCAGAGAAAAAATTCATTTAATAATATAACTAGATTTTATTAGTCAAGTAGAAATTATTAATATAAATGCAGCTAAAATTTATCATTCTGAATCCCTGTTAGGTCTCTCGTTATTTATGTCCAGAAAAAAAAATATTCCAACTTAATGATGGCAGAGTTTCTGAGCAAAAATTTGATTTGCTAACTTTTCTCTCAGGAATTTTAGAGATTTATTTATGTCTTAGGCAATTATTTTGAAAGAGGGAAAATTTAACATTTCCTTTAAAACAAAAAAGGTAAATTTTATTAAATTAAACTGTTGATATCTTGTTTGGAAAAGCATTGTGGAATAACCATTCTTTTCACAAATAATGCGTAGTGGTGTCATTATCATTATCATGGTAATGATAATGACATGATTTCTGTTTGCATGGGTCTCACATTTAGTAGGACTGGTAAGGTTATAAATGTAAGATGATTTGTAGTGGTGACAGGTCTATGAAGAAAACAAAACTGAGTAATAGGATAGAGTTAATGAACTCAGTTTAATAGACATGCAAGTGGAGCTGATTTTGAGAAGGTAGCATTTGTGTTGAGAAAAGGAATAAGAGAAGGAGCCACCTTTGAAATTCTAGGTAGAGGGTGCAGCATGTACAGAGGCTTGGCATGTTGGAAGCACAGAAGATCATCTTGCTTGAAAGGAGAGATGGGAGGAGTAGCATGAGATAAGGGTGGAGGAGGAGGCAGAAGTGCTGAATCTTATAAAAATTTGTAGACCTCAAGGAATCTTATGGCCTTAGGAGGCCATTGAAGTATATTAAGCAGGAGAACAGTGCTATCTGATCTGTTTCAAGTTGCATTTTCTGACTGCTGTGCAAAGAACTGGCTGGAAATTGAAGCTTGAAAGCATGGTATTAGGAGGCTATAGCAGAATTGCAAGTGAGAACTTGAATTGCAAGTGATGACTCAGACTTGGGCTCTAGCAGTTAAAATGGTAAGAAATAGTCAGATCTGGAATATATTTTGGAGATTAAACCACCAGGATTTGTGGATGACTTGGTATATTATGTGTGGGGAAAAAGAAATCCAGCATGATCCTAAATTTGTGACGTGAGTAATTAAGTAGATGGAGATGCTACTTAATGAGATAGGGAAGAGTTGAAGTAGAAAGGAGACAGATGGCCATTTGAGTTTTGAAAATGTAAATTTGAAATGATTTGTCAAATAGGAAGGTGGATATATCAGTCTGGAAGTCAGATTTAGATGTGATCACCTAAGAGAGAGTGTACATAAAGAGGACAAGTGTGTGGTGCCATGGGTATTCTAGCATTTAGAGAACAGGAACAGTGGGGTAGTAAGAAAACCAAAAAAGCAGATGGCTATGAAAACTAAGAAAAGAGAATGTTTTAAGAAGGGGAGGGTGATATGGGTTGAATCTGGAGTATCTCTCACAAGCCCCTGTGTTGGCTCGGTCCCTAGCTGGTGGTACTCTTGAGATGTGGTGGAAACTTTAGGAAGTGGGGACTAGTTGGGAGAGGTAGGTCACTAGATGGGGGGTCATGTCCTAGAAGCATATATCTTGACTCTAGCTCCTCTCTTTCTCTCTGCTCTCTGGCCACTATGAGGTGAGCAGTTTTGCTCCATCACATATTCTCTACCTTAATGTTCTGCCTCATCACAAGCCCACAGCCACGGAGCCAGACTGTGAAGTGAAACCTCTGAAACTGAGCTATATAAATCTTTCCTTCTCTGTGTTGATTTTCTTAGGTCTTTTTTCACAGTAGCAAAAAGCTAAGAGAGGGAATGGTTCAAACACTGCTGTGACATCAAGTAGGAATAGGATAGAAAATTGACTATTGGATTTAGGAAGATGAATCTCATGATCTTGGCAAAAGCTATCTCAGTGGAGTGGTGGGCATGAAAACTTGACAAGTGTGTGTTCCAAAGAAAATAATTGTTGAAAACCAGGTGGAGTTTACATTCTAGATTATAGATTACTTTTCAAAAAAATTAATCGGAAAATTAGAATAGAGAAATTGGGTTGTAAATATTATAGGACATGGAGTCAAACATCAGTTTCATTAGAGCTTCTTTGTTGATATGAATGATCATATAGAGAAGGTACAATTATACAAAGCAGAGTTTTTGATGTGGAGAAAAGCGCATGGTAAAAGGTTTTAACTTTCAAAAGGAACATAAATACTTGTTCAGTTTTACCAAGTTGGGAGGGTAAGGAGTACCAGGATAAATACAAATGGAGGAGGCTTCAAAGATGAGGTAATGCTCATCTGATTGTTGTTTTTGAAATATGGATTGGGTCTCTCATCTAAGAGTTGGAAAACTTATATTTTATTTCATGTTTTATTAAGTGAGCTTTGTGACCTCAGATAAGGTACTTGTGACCTTGAATAAGTCATTTTGTTTTTCTGGGCCTCAGTTTCCTTAATCTTTGCAAAGAAAGAAGTGATTCCCTAGAGTCTTTTCTAGTGCTTAATTGTTATATAATCTTATTAGGCTATAGTATGGTTTTTATTTCTTTATACTATGTAAGAAAAATGAATAATTATTGTTCTAATAGTGGCTTTATCTGGTCATTATCTGTTTCCTCCTCTCCCCTTTTGGTCTAAATTTCCGGGTCTTTTTTCCTTTAACTTGTCTTTCATTTGCCTATTTCATTGGCTTGTTTGAGTTGTTTTTCTGAGAGCTCTGCCAGCCCTGCAACAGTGTTTCTTCAAGGACTGATTTCTTAGAGGTGAATTTTTGTCTTAAGTTTTCATCCTCAAGGAAATCTTAGCTATTTGAGTTGCCATATTTTCTGAGGAATATTTGTTTATTAAATGTCCTGAATAATTTTAAAGTAGTATGAGATGAACAAAATATGTAGATTAGAAATGCCCCTTATTTCAAAACAGAACTTCAGTAATCAGAAACATGACAAAAATAAGAATATATTCTATAGTGTTCCTGGGGCTATTCTTCAGCTATCATTAAGGGACTATTTTTTCTTCTTCTTCTACTTTTTTTAAAAAAAAAATTTTTAGTTGTGGATGGACACAATACCTTTATTTAATTTTTATGTGGTGCTAAGGATCGAACCCTGTACCTCACATGTGCTAGCCAAGTGCTCTACCACTGAGCTACAAACCCAGCCCAGGGAAGTATTTTCATGTAATTAGTATGTAATCTTTTGGGGGAGCATGTAAAGGATACATACATAATTTATTGTGACTGTTTTTTAAAGTGTTTTTTTCTATGGAAGAGTCAGATCCTGCCTCAGTATGTTGCTCCTCTTGGTTTCCTCAGTATTTGAAATATCATCTGTATCTTCAGTAATTTTTTTTTTGATCCAGTGGGTGCATGCATTGAATAGCAGCTTTATGAACTTTGGAAAATTGATGGTTTATGTCAGGTTGTTGAAAAGGGTAAGAATAATTTTTAGAAATAATTGGTAACTGAAACTATGGAAAACAAAACCATTGATGAAGAGGAAACCACTGTAAGCATAAAAGTATAAGCCATTAAAATGCCTTTCTTAGGGAATGGGACTTGGATAATGGGACAACGTACATTTCCTTTTTTTGTTGTTGTGTAACTGTAGATATATTTGGGAGGAGGAGAAAAAAGTGTATTATAGATTCTTCCCATTGACATTAAAAACTGCTCTGATTTAGATGGAATAAATCTTCTGTTATGCAAATGTGAACAGAATGACTTATTTTTTCCATTAATTTACTTTTAATTTTTAATAGAGTGGTAAATTTTATTTTTGTATTATATTTCACATATAAATGATGTATAAGTAATAAAATGCAAAATTATATTTTATTAACACATTTATATTCCAAATTAATGAGTTTCTGTATGGCATTTCCATACACGTGTATAACAGTGCATTGATCATGTCCACCTTCCCTTCTACCTTCTCTACTCACTCCCCTCCTACGAGTACCCTTCCTAATACCTAAATTGCCTCTATTTTCAAGTTATCTTTTATTTAGTTTCCATATAATATATATTTACACATGTATATACACATAAGTGCACACACATATGTAATAATGTAATATTATTATTATTGTTTTGTGACTGTTGTGAATGATTTACTTGCCTGATTTCTTTCTCAGTGAGTTCATTATTGATGTATAGAAAAGCTGCTGATGTTTTGTGTTGATTTTATATTGTTATTTTACTGACTTTATTAGTTCTGAAAGTCTTTTGGTAAAGTGTTTAAGATTTTCTACATATAGAATCATTTTAGTAAACTGGGATTATTTGACTTCCTTTCCTATTTATATGCATTTTCTTTCTTTCTGTTAGTGATTGCTTAGTCTAAATTTCCAGTACTATATTGAAAAAGAGTGGTAAGAGTGGGTACCCTTGTCTTGATCCTGATCTTAGAGGAAATGCTTTTAGTTTTTCCCCATTCAGTATGATTTTGGCTATGGCTTTGTCATATATATCATTAATTATATTGAGGTTTGATCCTTCTATACCTACTTTATTCAGGTGTTTTACCATGGAGGAATGTATTGTTCTGTTAAAGACTATTTCTGCCTTTGAAATGTTGCCAATTGAGATTTTTCATCAAATGATACCAAGTGATATTTTCCCTTCATTCTCTTTATGTGCTCTATTATGTTTATTGAATAATATGTTGAAACATCATTGCATCTCTAGAATGAAACCAAGTTGATCATGGCATATATGATCTTTTTGGTATGTGCTATTGAATTCTATTTGTAAATATTTTATTGAGAAGTTTTATATCTATGTTCATCAGAGATGGTGGTCTGTAGTTTTTTTTTCCTTTTTTTTTTTTTTAGTTGTAGTTAGACACAATACCTTTATTTTATTTATTTATTTTTATGGGGTTTTGAGGATTGTGGGGCTCTCTCTCATCCAGCAAGGAGGTCTGTGGAACAGAGTAGAGGACAGTGTGGCTGCAGAGTCCCTAATCAAGACCTCTGGAAACCAAGCAGGAAGCAGGTCTGATTTTACTGCACAGTTATCATGTATATATACTCAGGCAGTAGTTAAGCAGATTATAGGCAGCCACCAATGCAATTTCTGCTAACTGTTCTTGCAGCCACCAGCTAAGGAGTGGGCTGTGGAGCAAGCACAGGAACTTCAACACATGGCTTCACCTCCAGGGCTGTCCCTTCGGGGTAATATAATTGATGATAATGATGTGATAATGTGCCTTCGGGGTAAGCAGCCTGCCACTCACATGCTTAGCATGAGGGGAGTGGTCTACCACTTAGAGCCCTTAACGTAGGCCAAGTATGCAGCACTCTATGCACTTGTCCTCACAGAGGATCAAACCCAGGGCCTTACAAGTGCTCCATGATTGTTCCACTGAGCCACAACCCCAGCCCCTGGTGTGTCGTGTATCGTTTTATTTATTTATGTCCTTACAAGGTTTTTGCAGCAGGTAATACTGGCTTCAGAGAATGAGTTTAAAAAGGATTCCTTTCTTCATTTTATGGATAGTTTGAGAAACATTGCTGTTTTTTAAAAATCTAATGAGATTTAGCAGTGAATTCATTGGGTCCTGGGCTTTTCTTCATTGGGAGACTTTTTTTAATGACTCAATCTCATTAGCTATTGGTATACTTATACACATACACACACACACACACAATGTATATATATGTATACTTAAATATACATATATATATGTGTGTGTGTGTGTGAACATACACCCACTCTTGGTTCAATTTTGGTAGATCATATGTATCCAGAAATGTGTCTGTTTTCTCTGGATTTTCTAGTTTTTTTAGCATAGAGGGTTTTTTTTTTTTTGTTTATTTTTTTCAATATTCCCTAATGATCTTTTGAGTTTCAGTGGTGTCTGTAATACTATTTTCTTTTTTTAACCTCTGATTTTATTTATTTGGATATCCTTTTTTCTTTTGGTTAGTTTTGCCAAAGGTTTGTAAATTTTGTTTGTCTTTTGAAAGAACCAACTCTATTTCATTGATCCTTTGTATTGCTCTTTTGGCCTCTATTTTATTTATTCTTTCTCTGATCTTTATTATTTCTTCCCTTCTACTGATTTTGGATTTAGTATATTCTTAAAACCTTGAAATTCTTTACTAGGTTATTTATCTGAGGTCTCTTTTTTTTTTTTTCCACTAAAGCATTCATCACTATGAACTTTCTTCTTGATACTCCTTTCTCTGTATTCCACATGTTTTGATATGTTGGGTTTCCATTTTGATTTAAGAGGTATTTAAATTTCCCTTCTGATTTCTTAAACGACTCAATGTTCATTTAATAGTGTGTTTAGTCTCTATGTATTGTATCATTTCTACAGTTTCTCTTGGTGTTGATTTCTAGTTTAATTCCATTGTAATCAGATAAGATGCAGAAATTATTTGTTTCAAGTTTTTGAATTTGTTAAGACTTGCTTTGTGAGCTAATATATGTTCTTTTGGGGGCAGTGTTAAACGTACTAATGAAAAGAATGTATATTTGGTAGCTGTTGGATGGAATGTTCTGTAGATGTCTTTTAAGTCCAGTTTACTTATAGTATAATTTATCTCTGATGTTTCTTTGATTTTTTTTTTGTCTGGATGATCTGTTAATAAGACTAGGGTATTGAAGTTAACCACTATTGTATTGGGAACAATTTGTTCATTTATGTAGTGTTTGTTATATGAAATTAGGTGCTCTAATGTTTGGTGCATGTGTATTTATAATCATTATATCTTCTTGATGAATTATTCCATTGATTAACATGTAACGACTTTCTTTGTCTCGCTTAATTTTCTCCTAAAGTGTATCTTATTAGATATAAAAATAGCTACTCCTGCTTGCTTTTGGATTTCATTTGCTTCGGATTTTATTTTCTAGCCTTTCACTTTCAGTCGGTGTATGTTTTTGCAGAAGAGGTGAATTTATTGTTTGGTCTTGTTTTTTAATCTACTCAACAAATCTGCATCTTTTAATTAGAGAATTAGGGCCTTTTATATTCAGGGTTATTATTGAAAGGTATGTACTTGTTGTCATTTCATTGTTTTTCTTGTGGTTGTTTTAAATATTGTATGTTCATTTTTTTTTCTCTTTAGAAGTTTGATAGTGTACTATATTAATAAGTTTTAATCTTTCCTGTTTCATTTGCATGTCTGGTGTTCTGGTTATATTTATCCTTTCCAATACTCTGATTATATTTATCTTTCTTCCTTTTCTGAGTGTAGGATTTGCTGTTATCTAATGCTGGTCATGTCATAAATTCCCTTAGTTTAGGCTTATCTTGGAAGGTCCTTATTAATCCTTTGATTCTGAAAGATAGATAATCTTGCTGACTATAACCTCTTGATTGGCACTTGTTTTCTTTCAGAATTCATAATACCTCATCCCATACTCTCCTGGCCTACAGAATTTCTACTAAGAAATTTGTGTTTGTTTAATGGGTTTGTCTTTAAATGTGCCTTGGTACTTTTCTCTTGAAGATTTTTATTTTTTTTCTTCATAGTGAACTTTTGGCATAGTAACTGTATTGTGAGAGATTCTTTCTGGTCATGTATAAATGCAATTCCAAGTGCCTTCTGTACCTAGATGTCTGTGTCTTTCCCAAGAGTTGGGAAATTTTCTGCTTTTATTTCATTGAATAGGTTTTTCTATGCCTTTAGCCTGTAGCTCTTCTCCCGTGGGTATACCTGTTGTGTGGATGCTTGGTCTTTTAATGGTGTCCCGGAGATTTTTTGTTTTGTTCATTCTTTTTTTTCCCCTTATTTCTATCTTAATGTAATATCAGGCTTGTCTTAATATCTCTGATAGTCTTTCTTCTGCTTGATCCAGTCTGTTCATAAGACTTTCAAATGAATTTTTATCTGACTTATATGAACTTTTCATTTCCAATATTTCTATTTGGTTCTTTTTCAAAAACTCCATTTACGGAAATTCTCATTCATATCTTGCATTGTCTGTTTGAATTCATTCAGTTGTTTATTATTTGTATTCTCTTGGAATCCACTGAGCTTTAGAAAATCATTCTTTTGAATTTTTGTCCAGTATTTTATCTAATTTGATATCTTTAGAATCTGTTACTATACAACTATGAACTTTAGAAGGTTCTTATTGCCTTGTTTTATCATTTTTTGTTTGTATGTTGTGTTTGTACATCTCTTGGGATGGATAGCTCCTCCATTTCTATATGAGAAACTTCTTAACTGGCCTTCTTTTGATGATGTATCTTGGATATCAGTTTATTGTGTAATGCTGGGTTTAATTCCAAATGGACTTTGTAACATGGTCTCCCTGTGGCGCGTCTTCAGCTGTAATTAGTGAGTTTTGACACAATGTGCAGTGTATTGGAGCCTGAGAAGCCCACCTTTTTTTGAAGGCATTGCAAGAGTGGGATCCCTTTGATAATTTAACTAAATGTGGCATAGACAGAAGGGTGGAGTGGCACTCTCTGTGGTTACTCCTACAGTGGGAATATATGCCTCTATCAGGTGGTAGAGGTTTCCATAGTCACTTGAAAGCAGTTCTCATATTGACCCTTCTAATCATGGTGAAGGACTTGAAGCTTTTTATCCTCTGTTTAGACATTGGTCAGTTTCTGGTTTTTCAGGTGGAAATGCAAGGACTCAGATCACAGCTCCAACTCTGTGGCACTCAGATTTACACTTGTCAGTGATGTGCCATCCACAGGATGTTTTTTAAAAAAACCAACACTGAGGACTCACATAGGCACAATGTCCAAAATGGTTTTGTTATTTCTTTCTGCTATTATGGAGGGGGTTCCCAGGAGGGAAATGGCAGAGCCTTTGCCCCATTTGTGCCCACTTTGGGATGGGCCATTAGCTAGGGGATTCTGTTCCCTATATTCTTTAAGTTGAAGTATCTGCCAAGGTTTGAGCAGGACCAAGTCATGGCTAGAGCTAGGTGTAATTCCTCTTAGTGGGATTTGGAGTGTAGTTCAGGGCAGAGCACCTTCTCAATATGTGTAAAGTCCTGGGCTTGATGCCTAGCACTGTTGGGGCTGAGGGGAGCAAAACCAAGAGATAAGGGGAAAACATGTAGCATAAAATATTTTTAAAATTTAAAGTTAAAATTTTAAAAAGTTCAAAATGGGGAAAAATTAAAAAGTAGTAAAGAAAAAAGGTATAAATAAAAATATTTTTGGGGAAAGAGAGGATGATTGCAGCTTATGCTGATCAAGCCTTCTCTGTCGGTCTTCTTAGGCTGTGCACCCTGTGGACAGAGAGAAAATTAAGGATTATTCACAGGCCCCCATTCTCCAGTCCTTTTTTTGTTTTGCTTGCCAGGTGGCTAGCAGGAGTGATTTGTGGCTGAATCTAGTTGGAATTCCACTCAGCTTTTTTCATGCTGAAATGAGCTAGCATATCATGCAGAGCTATCCAGGCAAAGATTGTCTCCGTAGCTTTTTGGGTTGTGGATCAAAGGCTGAAGCTGCAGTGTGTTAGCAAAGTAGTACAGAATTCAGATTTCACTAAGCAAAGATTCTCTCTGGAATTTTTTGAACTTTCATTCCTTGGGCATAGAAAAATCCAGTTTGTCCCTAGATACCCCAAGTGGGTAGAGAGAGCTGTGGGCTGCCTGAGAGCTGTACTGGGAGGGTGGCAGTGGGTTCTGTATAGTTCACCACCCACAATCCTGGTGCTCCCACACATGACTTGCATACCGAATCATATATGACTGTTTACTCTCATGGACTTGTCAGGTTTCTCAAACTACAGATTTTAAAGGGAAGTACCTTCCATTTCCCTCCACCTCACAATCTGGTTTCTCATCTCAGAATTCTCATCAGGTTTGTGTTAGATCTCTTACCTGGGCCAAACCAATTCATGAGGCAAATACCCACTTAACCAGTATTGTGAAATTGCTACAGGGTCTACTAGGGTCCCTGAGAAAGGAAAATGCCGGGCCCGTTGATCTCCACAGCAGTAAGCTCAGACAATAGACCCTTCTAGTATGACTTCCAGTTACAACTCTGTGAAAATACACTGGGAAGTGGGGAGAAGTTTTCCAGAGTTAGCTCACTATGCAGTTCCTGATCCTTTATCTGTTTAGAGTTTATGGCTGCAAGATTCCAAATTCTGTATATGCAGCTCTCTGGGACTACTCCCCCTTTCACCTATACCCTGGTGGTGATGTATTTCTTCTTTCCTTGCCATGCTGCTCTGAGGTCAGTGCTGGGATACTGTTTCTTCCACTATTTCAATATTCAAAATCCCAGGGTTTCTCAAGGTCTCTTTCTCTTTACTCTTGAATTCCAACACTCTCTCATAGCCACTCACCTCAACAAGCAACTACACTCATTATTTTGGTTCTGCCTTGTGGAAAAGCAGGCAGGTGCTAGGTGCCTCTAATCTGCCGTCTTGAAATCATTTTTTTATTAGCAAAGGAAAAGTCTTTGACAAGGACCTGTCAAAGACTTGTGTTTGAATTATAAATAAATCTTGTGTTTAATTATAAATAAAATTGCTGATGTTTACCAAATACTTAATTGTGTAATAGTTATTGAATTATCCCATTTAATCCTTACAGCAGTTTTCTAAGGCAGTTACTATTAATAGTCCTATTTTACAGAGAAAAATTTTAAGATTTTAGATTTAGATTGATAGATTAGGTAAAATCCAAATTTGCACAGCCAATGAGGTGTGAAGACCCTTCCTTGCTCTTACTCATTATCCTTTTTCTTATTTACATACTTATTCATATGGAAGTGTTTTCTTTCAGGATTGTAGAGTAAAAGATTTGGGCTGATTGGATTTATTTTTAAAACATTAGTATTTGCTGATTTAAGATATAATAGTGAGTTTTAACAGATTGAGATTGCTAGATATTACTATATCAGAAGTAAGATCAAAGTTCTAGGTTTGGGTTTGGGATACAGCTCTCTGGAAGAGTGTATGCTTAGTATGCAACATGACCCTGTGTTTAGTCCAGCACCAAACAAAAAAAAAATACTTAGGTTTGTATTTCATTTTTTTTAAAATTTTTTTTTAACTAAGGAAAATTTTGAACAAATACAGAAGTAAACTATCAGAAAATGAAGCTGTTAAGTCTTTATCACCAATTTACAAAACTATCAACTCATTGCAAATCTTATTTCATTCTCCCTAGTTTATTTTGAAACTAACCTCAAACATTTAATTTTACATGTAAATACTTGAACATATATCTCTAAGATATAAAAATTAACAAACCACAACATCACTATTTTATCTAAAGCAGCTATTCCTTAATATTAAATAGCCAGTGTTTAAACTTTCTCACTTATCTTTTTGTTTTATACAACTTTTTTGAATCAGGATTGAAATAAAGTCCATAGGTTACAATTTTTATGATTTCTTAATAATAAAAATCTTATTTCTTAAGACTTTCTCAATATATAAATACCATCTTCCTATTCTGCTTGTAATTTATTTGTTGAAGAAACATTTTTCTTGTAGAGTTTGCCTCAGTTTGGATTTCGTTGTTATTTTCCTTGTACTTCTATCCTTCTGTTCCTTGTGTTAGGGTGGCTGGTGCAAATATCCATGAGAGACACATCTCTGAGTTCAAACAAAGATTTATTGACAGAGAATATCTGCCAGGCTGCCCTTCTGCAAGGTGCAGTAGCCTGCTGGAAAAAAAAAACTTATTTATTATATAGTCATGTACAATGAACTAGTTAAAAATAACCCTTCTGGTCCTATGATTGTTACTTGGTATCTGTATTGTGGTTTCAGTAATTAGGGACTCTTTGGGGGCAAACCTAATGGGAAGGTCATGCCTGGGTGGGTAGGTAATGATTTTTAAAATGGAGTTACTTTTGCGTAAGAATCTAACACCTTGTATTTTCTGTAAATTGTCATTTACATTTAGAGGATTGATCAGATTTAGATTTAACTCGGGAGGGAAGGCAAATATTTCAGAAGTATTGTTGTGTACTATGAGGAGGCACATAATATCTGTTTTGTTTTTTCCACAACATGTTAGCTTTGCCTTTTTGTAACCAAAATAGCTGATAAGAACAACTTAGAGGAAGAAAAGTTCATTTTGACTCATGGTTTTAGAGGTTTAGTCCATAGTGGGCTGACTCCATTGTTCTGGGTGCAAGGAGAGGCAGAATACCATGGCAGAAGGGTGTGGCAAAGGGAGCACTGCTTACCTCATGGCAACTTAGAGCTGCAGGGAAGATGAACCCTTTCAGGACATGCCCCCTATGACCACTCCTCCAGCCATTTTCCAGTAGCCTACAGTTAGCATTCAGTCCATCTAAACTAGAATGGACTGATAAGTGTATAGTGCTCATAATCCAATCATTTCACCTCTGAATATTAACAACAGCTTTTGGGGGGATACCTTATGTCCAAACCGAAATACTTGGTTATAGCCATTGGTATTCATTATCTAGCTTTATTATTTCATTAGTGGTTACAAAATGTCAATATTCTAATTCCTTCACTTCAATATTTTCTTTTCCCTTTGTTTTCTAAAATAATTCTAAAGAAATACTTTCCCTCATGTGCTACATTGTTATTTTAAGATACAGCTTTTGGCACTGTAGGCAGTATACTCATTTTTACCCCTTTATGTATCAATTTTCTAATTAATGAGTTGGTTCTCTAGCATCTTCCAAAGGTGACTGATTTTTTAAAATATATGATATGAGATTACATATATTTGATCTGTTTTAATCACTTATTGATGTAATTCTACGCATGATGAACATTTCCCATCTTTGGCTAGTAGGGCGTCTTCAAATTGGCTCTTCAGCCCTTTTGGTACTTTTATCAGTAGTGTCTGATATCTTCCTTGCTTTCTGAAATGACCAAATCTCTAGATTTCTGATTCATCTTTTATATTTCTTCCCTCAGACATGAAATTAGACATTTACAAGGAGCTTTTAGTTCTTTTATTGGGAAGTGGCATTCAGAAACCACATTTGGGTGCTAGTTTATTACAACTCGTTCGATTTTAGTTTTTTGTGTTTTTTTTTTTTTGTGTGTGTGTGTGTGTGATTAAACCCACAGGTGCTTAACCACTGAGCCACATTATTTTTTGAGATAGGGCCTCGAAAAGCTGCTAAGGTTGGTTTGAATTTAGAATCCTTTTGCCTCAGCCTCTCAAGCCACTGGGATTACAGGCATGCACCACCACACCTGGTTCATTTGTTTTTTATTTCTAGAATTTTTGAGTGGACAGCTAAGACATTTTTTTTTTTTTTAAAGAAGTCATCTTAAGTTCATACTGATACTTGTAATTCAAATTTTTGGACTTCAGAATTTCAGAGTTTACATTATTAGATAAATTTTGTCTTTTCTGTTGAAAATTCTAGTGACCATGCTCAACAACAATAATTACTCATTTGCTTTATCTTAACACATGTATTAATCTGAGAATAACAATACCAATGATACAATTACTGAAAATAGCCCTTAATGTATTGCTTTGTCACTGGGATATATCTCTCTGGGGAAATAAAGTCAAGTTGTGTTTTAAAGTTATTTGAACTGGTTACTTTATGTATTTTTGCCACTAATTATATATGCAGTTAGAGTGATTTGTTTTATTTTCTTTTGATTTATAGGAATTGCTTTATAAAAAATTTTATTTTTAAAAACTTATTTTCAAAGTCAAGTCTACACATAGGTTTATACAAGAGTTTAGTTTCCATCCCGTTTCCAAGCTCTTCTTCCTCTGTTATGCTATAGTTGTTTTTTTCAATAAGCTAACCACCATACATTTGGCCTTTATATTTTAAATTAATTAAAATTAAAAATTTATTTCTCAGCCATAGTAGCAACATTTCAAGAGCCCAGTACCACATGTGACCAGCTACTACATAGGACATAACAAATTATAGAACCTTTACATACTTGATGAAAGTTTTATTTGGACAGTCTACCCTAGATAAATCAAATATTTAATTTTTAAAAATGAGTTATCTTTCCACTTTTTAAAAAAATATGTTATTCTCCTTTGATAAATAAGGCTGTGTACTTATAAAGAAAGAAATTTATTTGAAAGAACTTTATTTAGCTCATAGTTTTATGGGGTGTTCCATGAATGGGCAGCCCTGGTTCTTTAGCCTTTGGTGAAGGCCTCATGGTGGATGTCATACATTGTATGAAAGTATGAAGGATGAAAGAAGAGATCACATGGTGAGACAGGAAGCAGAGAGAATCAGGGTGCCTGAGTCTTTTTATAATAACTCATTCTCTTGAGAATTTAATGGAAGA